CCTTAGAGATTCTATTTCCCCCAGATAACAGGAAGCAATTTTAAGAACACCATGTCCACGTACCCAAGAGATGGGTGGGTGGTTTTTGGTTGTTCAATGGATGTTTGTTATCATTGGCCATGATCAGGGAGGAAACTAAGCAAAGGAAATTAGATTCTGAAAAGAAAAAGGGGAGATATAGAAATGATAGAATAAAAGGGCAAATTATTGAATCTACTTTCAAACAAAGAAGGCTAGTCTCAAATAGTTTTCATTGGTATGAATTTTTATATATTGATACAAATCTAAGGTTATTTTTGTTATACTGTATTAAATGTTTCTACTCCTACTCAAGGTATTTTACCTATGTAGCTCATTTAAAAATGTGATGTAAAATTCTAGTCCTTGAAGACTATTTAGGATAATAAAGAAATATAGGTTAGTAGTTAGTCATCTATAAAAATCAAACTTACAGTCATGTTAGATACGTTTTCAAGGTCAATAAAATACATTTTTAATATAAAGATGGTTTTCAAACACTTCAGAGACCGATAGAATATGACATTTTAGTGTTTTAATAATATAAAGCTTTTCATGACAGTGAGACATGTCTGTTCCTGGTAATACCAATCTATTTTAGAGAAGATGTCAGACATTGCAGAACTTCCATATGGAGTTTGCTTTCATTTGTGACAAAGCTAGCCATTTGAGCAAGAAACTGCCCTTGCTTAACTACTTACAGTATGTTGTCCAAACTGGACAAGCAGGACAAAAAAGAAGGCAACTGCCAAACTTTGCCAAAACAAGGTACAACAGTCCTTCTAAGTTCCTGCTTCACTGAAAAGTCTGCCAGATATTCTAGGCCTGTAGGCTGAAGATGGATACCCCAACATTGCAGATGAACTTTGTCTCTGTCATTTCTTAGTTTTGGAACTTGCTTGCTCTGTATTTCCTATTTAATCAGATAATATTATATCCTTCTAAAGTCTCTGATGGGGTTATAGATTTGATAGTTTAAGTTACAGTTTTCCTTAGTTATAATAGAAAGCAAATTAGGTACAAAACTTTGGACTCCCCATGATAGGACCCATAATTGAGTATTTTCTCTGAATTTGCCAAATACTAAGGGACTGACATTGTGAATGTATTTCTTACTTGATAAATGTTCTTATTGTACATAGTTTTACTATGTTAGAGTTAAAACCTTTCCTTTTTCTTTAGACAAAAGTGGGACATGTTCTGGGAGTATTGTTCATATGTTTATTTCACTGTGCCAATAATGTCACCTTGAATCAAAGGACAGATTGGCTGGCCAGGATCAGCCATGGAGTTGCTGGAAACTGATTAGGTCTGCTACAGAGGGACAGGAAGAGAGAGGAGGGATTCTGGGATGATTTCTAGGACTGGTGGTTCAGGAAAAGTATGGAGAGAGGGTCAACCAATTGACTCCATGCTGTTCCTTGGATTTATCAGGTCTGTATCTCAATTTCTGACTCCCCAAGTTTTTATTATACTGGAGCAATTTAGGAAATGGTTTCAGATGTGTTATTTTGTGTTCCATTCTGACACGTTTTGTTATATGATAATGTGAGTTTAGCTCCCTTCAAAGCCAGTTCTTTGTTAGTGGCTCACAGTCTGCTGTTTTGGATTATCTCTGTCTCTAGTTTCTGTCATTAATGTAAGTCAGTACAAGCTGCATGACTAACCAAGTTGGTTGTGAGGGATTGGCCATTAAAATAGTGAAACATAAAAGAAAGATTAAACTAAATCTCTACCCTGCCCTTCTCACTGTGCACAAACCAAAGCCAGCTCTTTTCCCTAAATGTTCAAGCTGTAAGGCTCTTGTTTTTGGGATTGCATATATTTGGAAAGTGCTGGCTAAGAAAGTCATTTAACTTGGAATCTCTCTGAGGCGATATGCAAGCAGTTCGGCACTCAGCTCAACTTATTCAGAATGTAGCCTTTTTCCTAGAGCTTAGTGTTTCCCCTAATGTATTCCAGGGAAGGAAGTGAAGGAAAGGACATTCTTGAAGCTGGGCTGTGGCTCAGTGGTAGAATGCCAGCCTAGCAGTCATGAACCCTGGGCTCCATCCTGAGCATAGAAAGATGGAAGGAACTAGCATCACATGAATTGGAAAATTCTTGCCTTGTTTATATTGCCAAATATGCCCAAGGGTGCCCTGAAAAGGGGCTGATGTTGAAGCTAGGCTCTCATCTGTTGAGGAGATAAGACATGTAACTCATAAAGCCCCTCAGTTTCCTAGGCAAAGGCAGGAATACAGTAAAATTGTTTTGGGGTAAAATGAAGGAAACCTGCCAGACTTCTGGAATCCCACAAGAAGGAAATAGGTGTCCAGAGACTAATGCTGACAAGACTTCTGCTAAGAGACCAAACAGCCCAAATTCAGTCACGACTGGGTCACACAGTTCTGTTCTTTGACTATGACACTTAGTCAAAATTGTCCTGCTGAGTTTGAACTATGTTGATGTGATAGGGTATTTGTAGACAGTGAAAGAATTCACTCAATAGACCTTAGTAGAAAATGCATTTATTGAATACACTACAAGAAAGAACACAAAAGACAGGGGAGTGACAGGGCTGTCTGCAATGTTGGGGTATCCATCTTCAGCCTACAGGCCTCCTAGAATATCTGGCAGACTTTTCAGTGACAGCTTTTACAAGTGAAGGTTGTCCTCACCAGTCAGTGTTTGATTCTGTAAGGTGTCCATGTTGGCAGAGGTACAGCCCTGTGGTGCCCAGTGGCAGTTAATTTTAGTTGGCTACAGGCATGCCATGCCATTCTGCCATTTGAGGTTTGGCTGATTTAGGTTTTCCAGAAGGCTGTATGAGACTGGAGAGAATCAAGATAGGAAACCAATTTAGATGTGCCTAAATCATGTGTACCAATTTCTCTGCTGATGACCTGGACATTCAACACAGTCAGATGCATAGGATGTTAAGGACACATTCTGAAGTACTGGTAGTGTCATTCTAATCTGGGCATCTATACAACAGACTGCACTGATAGAGATTTCCCACAGTAATAATAATATTTCAAACAGTTGGCCTTGTATTTACTTAGATTTAGATTTAGGCAAAGATAAAACATCTTAAAAGGATTTTAATGGTGGTCAGAAGATGAGTTGCCTGGTAGAGCACAGGGAAGGGGGGCTGTAAATGTCATCAGATCTATTCCAACTAGGAAAATTCCAAAAGAATGAACAGGGCCTGTGGATCCTGGGTTTATGGGCCACTGATCTGAGATTGGCCTTTGAGGCCCCCTTTCAAGAGAAAGTATATGTCTTTAATTGGGTCTCTTGTATTTTTATGTTGAAGCCTTTTGGAAAATAGTTTTATTTTGGGCAGGTGAACCCAGTTGGTAATTCCCTATAGTTTGATAACCACTGGGATATTTAATAAGACCTGGTAGAGTCCTTTTTTAAATTAGTTATAGTTAGTATGTCTATAGGAGCACCAGGTCCCTTCTCGGTCAGGATGACAATCCTGCCTTGGGTTGACAGAAACTAATTTTGTTATATTGCTAATTATTTTAATTTTTAATTATACTTTCTCATGGGATGTAGGATCATGCAGGTGGTCAGCTTGAGGACTTTATGAACTTCTTTCAGGATTGAGAGGACCCTTTGGCTCCTTTAATTTCCCCTTTCCACTTATTTATGTCATCTAATGGATGGTCAGGGTTTTGCTGAATTTGTGGTTTCTCTGTGCAAACATGGATGACATTTTCCCATGTGAAAGGACCCTCCTCTTTTCAAGGTGTACAATGGTGAGTTCAAGTGCTGGAGTTTCTGAAGCCTGTTAGATGTCCCCCTAGTACCTGGCCAACCTAGGGGAGGGACCAAAATACTGGTTGTCACCTTAACTTCTATAGCTTCATTGGTTTTGTCCTCCAAGCAAGGCTGCTGAGTACTCAGAGGCCTGTTCTTCCAGTCTAGAAGAATGGGCAAAGGTTTGATGGCTGTAGTGGCATCTTGTTCGGCCAATAGACTTGTGGTAATGGCCTTAGGGTGTGGCTTCGGTATGAGGACATGATCCCTTATAAGGAAGGGTAGGGGCCTTGCTCAGGCTCACTCTTGCGTTGTGGTCTAAGCATCCTGTGTCGCAGACCCTGCATCTCCAGAAGCCGAAGGACCACAGCAGTATTTACCTTCATTGTGAGAGTGCTCCCCAAATAAAGAATCTGCGAAGCAGCATGCTCAGACCACAACCCAAGAGAGCCCGAATGAGGCCCCTCCTCTTCCTTATAAGGGATCAAGTCCGCATAGCGAAGCCACACCCTAAGGCCATTACCTCAAGTGTTAGTGCTTCAGGAACTGAGCTAAATGTGCACAGTGGCCACAGCAGGATTACCCCTCCATTTTGGTTCAACACTGAGGAGTTCAGAGACCACATGATGTCGTTTCTAGAAGCAAAGTAACACCTTCTTCTAGATTCTTGCCCTGTCAGCCCTATGATCCCCACAAGGGTAGACAGCAGAGGAGCTTATGGACCACCTGACCTTTAACTCATCATGTCTGGTTTTCCCTGGCAAAAGCTTAACATGGGGCCTAACAAGAGGTTTTTCAGTCTCCGTCCATCTCCTTCTTTGTTTCTGTGATCATCCTTGCCTATAAGCAGTAACAAGCTCTCTGGTTTCTTGATCCAGTTCTCCCTCCTCACCGTTACACTTGTGCTGTTGCGGAATCACTCGGTTCCTTCTCCATCTTTTCCCTTCCTTCCTCTCTCCTTCCCTCCTCCCTCCCTCCCTCTCTCCCTCCCTTCCTCCCTTCCTCCCTTTCTTTCTCTTTTTTTTTTCTGACTTTACACAGGCAAATGTTAAAACAGCTTCCTCCCCAGATTCATGTCTGTTGGAATCTTGTAAGACAAGTTTCTTTGGAAATACGGAATCTGCTGGTGTAAATGTCAGATCAGAACAGGCACTAAGCTCAGCACGGCTGGCGCGCCCCATGAAAGGATAGAGGCACAGGGGGGAGACACTCAGACAATAATAAAGACAGAGTTGGAACTAATGAATTTATTGCCAGAAAACAACAAACACTGTTGGCAAACAATAGCAGGAAGACAATGAAGGACAATATTCTTCCAAAGGGGAATAAGACCCCTGCAGAAACCCAGATTTTGGATTTCTAGCTTCCAGAACAATGCTGGGCAACATAGTTATTCAGCGCTTGTGTCTCAGATGTGTGTTGGCTAAACCCAAAGTGAAATTCTAAGAGTAAGAAAGCCAGGCATTAAGCTATGGCTGTGTGCTATGTGGCTTCCTAAGTGTGTAAGCTTAGGGCACACAGACAGCTGTAACATTTGTTCTGCATATGACCATACTTGAGATTTTGAGAACATATGCCCTCTCTAGTCACCTGTAGTCTCAAACTCAGAAGGAAGTTTCAGTTCCTGGCTGGTCATGTAAGCTTGTACTCTTAGGCTCCCATTGTTTCAGATGAGGCTTCCCCTGGTGAGGTCACCACAGCGCCCTGGCTGTCCACAGAGCCTGTCTGACGTCTCTGCTCAGAGTGTGTTTACCCTTGGCAAAAAGAAACTTCCTGTTTCAGAGAAAAAAAGATTTAAGAAGGATTGTAAATGGACTCCCGAGACTCCGTGAATGGCAAATAGCTTTTAAAAGACAACACTTTAATGGGCCATGAGTAACTGAGGCAAAAACAAAAGTATTGAATATCCTTTTAAAGGTATATGAGTTTAAAGAGCAAGAAGGGAATAGATTTGGCAAAGTTCCGCCTGGATTTTATAGAATTCAAGATGCTTGGAAATTTTCTACCTACACGCCCACACACAACTGCAAAATTTTATAAATTTTATAAATGACCTGAGGAGACAACAAAAATGATACAGTGCAAATCCAAACAGCATGCAGCTTCTGCATCACAGCCCGATGGAAACATTTATCTCTTTTATAAGCTGCTCTCTGTGGATGGGGGATGCAGAGCCGAAGCAGACAGGCAGGGAGAGAAGACCAGGGAATGAGAACCGAGTTCCAGGCTGTCATGGCTGCTTTAAATGCATGTACACACACAGCTGAAACGGAGCCATGCATGGTATGGTGGAAACAGTGGAAACTGTTAACGTTCGGGGAAAATAGTGGGCTAAGGATCTTCATGTTCCCTGTGAATTTTATGGCATCAAATTAGCAAGTTCATTTTACGGAAAAATAAACAGTGCTTAGTATAAAATTGACTAAGTGTTTAACTCAACTATTCTGCAGCTTTAATGGCCTGATGGTGATGAAACAAACAAGAGCTTTGTGTTTGTCGAACAGGGAAACCTCTTCCACACCGCAAGGCTGTAGCCCTTGACAAAGCGTGTACCTGCTTGGACTGCACCTTACAGAATTCTCAGCAATTTGAGAAATAAATTACTGCACTAACTGTAGGATAGAAGGCAAAAACCAGACACAGTTCTGACAAATCCCCAATCTTTCCTAAGTATCTACTATATACCAGGTACTGGGCATATACCTTATGAAGTGGAGACATTCTTGTGTACCAGAATCCCAGGGTTGTGGTGAAGATGGACATTGATGCTTGAGTTTGTTGATGGCTGGTTTCAGAGGTTTCACTAGACCACAGGGACTCAGCTCTTTGGTCAAGTCTTCCTCAGATGTTCTTCTGTGGATGTTTGTGGATGAGATTAGCATTTGAATTCCTAGAAGGGGTCCAGCAGGTTTTTCTCCCCAACGTGGGTGGGGATTATCCCCTTCCTAAGGGGTGTAGGCTGACTCTGACCAGAACAGCAAGTTAACACTCCAGGGCATCCAGCTTGCCCATAGCAGGGAGGCATTGGCAGCTCAGTTAATTGCACAACACCCCTTCCCCTCATCGCTCTGTTACGTTAGTTCTGCTTCTCTGCAGAGCCCTGAGTTCAATTTCCCAAAGAAGCAGACATCCAGTCAGCTGTTTGAGGACAGCAAGCTGAACAGGCTGATGCTAGAAAGTAAGGAGGAGAGTAAAATTAGTGAGACAGGGAAAGAAAAAGAAGGTGACCAACATTAGCCTCCACTGTCGGCTCTGGGAAGCTCTGGAGACAGCGTGGCATACAGTTGGTATCTCAGTTTGCCCGAGAGTGAGGGCATCAGTGTTGTCATCCCAATAGAGCCCATCACTTGCTATGGGCTGCTCCTGGGCACATTAACTCTCCAACCCTTTGGATTTTCACAAGAGCTCCTTTCCTCCCTCCCTCCATCCCTCACTCCTCCCCTCTCAACTGATGTGAAGTCAGGCATGGAGGAAAGTATCCTGTGAAGAATGCATTACTTTGGAAAGATTATAAATCTACCCCTAGAGTCTACTTCATATGATAGAAGAGCAGACCATTGTTTTGGATCTTTGTTGACACTGCTATACCTGTATTCTATTATCAGATGAGGGATAATTCAACTGCCTATGACATTCAAGCTTGAAGCTGGAAGGACACAGGCCTGTGTGTGTCAACTTGGGGAATCCCATGATTGGTTGTCTTTTGTTATGATGAAAATTTTCATGGTTTTGCTCAGTCTTTATACTAGGTTTCTTTAAGACCTAGTTTGGTATTTACAAACTAATATAATGGAGGCAAGAGTTCCTGGGAGAACAGAGGAGGAACATAGTAAGTGAGCATATGATTGTGTTGTAAGGAATGGGCTTCACAGTCTAAGGTCAACATAGCATAAGCCAAGGGAAAAGCACTAGAAACAAATTCCCATGAAAATACAGAAGAAATTTAGACTAGATATAGCCTTGAGTTAATGCAACCCAAGATGTGTATATTCATATTTGAATGGTAATTTCAATATCTGGCTATGGAAAAATACATGATTTAGAAAAATATGAACTGGAGTACCTTAGTAAGCTTACAGAAGAAATCATACTAAATGGAATAAGCTGATATTTGATAATTTCATAAACTGACATAGAGTCCATTTACAGTCTAATAGGTAAGACTTGTACAGATTTAGACTTATACAATACAGCCAGCTAAAAATTAAACTCTAATGTAAATTTAATCTGGGTGATGTTGTGATGCTTACTGTTTAATTTGAGTTTACAGCTTAAGGGAAATGGGGGTTGGTTGCCCTGGGGGCTTTCTTCTTGGCCAGAGTCAATAAGCAGTATCCTCTATCTGTCTCCTGAAGAGTCTAAAGAAAGTTCCAGGCTGGTTAACATTAGGGACTGCCCATAGGTGTCTCAGGGGCTGTGCTCTGCAGAGGAACCTATGTACCTCTATCCAGTGGGCACACTTTTCTACAGTATTTATGGGAAGGGAGGAAGTTAATACAACAAGTTCATCTCCATTCCATCAAGGGCAAGCCACACAAAGCCCTATGCCTACCACAAACAGGCCTTCTCAAGGCTGGGGAAACTGGCAAGGTGCCTGGCAGCGGATAAGCGCTCAGAGCAGGGCAGGCACTGAGCATCAGAGCAGGCTCTAAGGATCAGGATAGGCACTGGCATCAGGGCAGACGTTGAGCATCAGGGTAGGCCCTGGGAATTAGGGCAGCACTGACCATCAGGGCAAGTACCCAGTAGCCAGTAAAGCAGTTAGTGTCAGAGCAGTTACTCAGCCTAGGGTAGGCACCTGGAAACAGAGAAGGCCCTCAGCAGATGGGTAGGCAGGCACTCATTTGCAGGATAGGCACTCAGTAAGTATTTGTGGATCAGATGAACAAATAACTATCTTGGATCCAGCCATAACTGTATGACACAGACCAGTGTTGAACAGCCCCAGACTTCAAAAGCTATGATCTCACTAGAAATTCAGTCTACCTGTAATTTTTGTTTGAGGTTTTGTTGTTTGCTTTTTGATTTTTAATGTGAAGGTTCAGAGAATTTCTGTTCCTTACCCTTATTCACTTTTCCCTGATAAAAGTCGGACCTTCATATGTTAATTTTCTATTGGGCAGAGATCTTGTAACTCATATGCAATTCATTAGTATGTATCATTAGTATATATAATGCTATCTGAGCCAAAATAATATATATGTCATCTGAAAAGTCTGGAAACGGAGGATAAACTTATTTCAAATAGTTTACTAGTTAATTTTTCAGGTAATATATTTATTATGCTCTTCTTCAACTTACAGATGCTTTTCTAGGCAAAGTAAATAAATTTAAATCAATAGGCTCAATCTTTATTGAAAACATACACTTACTATATCATCCCCTGTACATCCAGCATCTTTTGATGCTCTGTGATGCACTCATTGCAAGTTTGGTTCCGATTAAAATTAGGATCTTGGCTCTTGGCTTTAAATTCAAATACCCTTCATCCAAATGTTGAACAATGTACTGAATGTTTTGCTTGGCCATGTATGTAAGCTGCTGCTTAAAAGTGAAATTTCATTCGTTTGAAGAGTTTTCTTTGCACATATTGAAACTGATATGTGTCTCAACAAGTTTGTTTCAAATTCTTTGTATGGATTAGAAAAGAACAAGTGCTTCAACATTTATTTTCAGGTGTCTACTTACAATATGTTCTGGAGTAAAATCCATAAAGATTGAGGTTTTGGCTTGATCCGCTTTTACTTTCTGTGAAATAAAGTTTTAAACGGAGAAAAATAATAAATTTGAGGTAGGAAATAGGGAAAAGTGCATAATATTCTCCATCAACAAGAAGTCTTTGCAATATTCCCAGAAGCTAGCAAGTTCCATGTGCTCCATAAAATCTCTTTACAGGGGAACTTAATGGGTTGGATTTGCAGCAAGTTAAATGAGATTTTCTTTGTAAACGATGAAGTTTTCACAGGCGGATGGCCTTCATTGCTTGAACAAAACTACCTTGGTTTCAAATATTCATGAACATTTCCCCGTCAGCCTTGTGTTAAGTGATTCTGAATTTGAAGATAAAGGGTGGTGGCAAATCTCAGTTCTATTCTCATGGCCCATCATCAGTCCTTCTAACCTTTGATGTATTTATGTCTAAGTTCAAGACATAAATGTTTGGTTCACTTTCATGCAGGACAGTGAGGCTAAACCTCTACCTGTCATGCAGGATATGCAGCTGACCATGGACATCGGTACAGATAGGTTTGTGGTTGCTGGTTGTGGTATGACAAGGAGTTGGAGGTTATGGTTATGATTAGGGTCAGGGATGGGTTGGGTTTGGGACTAGGGTTGGGGTTAGGTTAGGGTTTGGAGTGGGATGGTGATTATGGTTAGAGATAGGGAGTAGGGTTGTTGTCAAACTAATGCTAGCTAGTCTTATGTTTGAGTTGGACTTAGAGAGGCATCTTCCTCTTGTGGTTCCTCAGAATCATCTTTGTCCAAAGCTGTGACATCCTCCCGAGCCCTGGACCTAACCTTTCCATCTCTGTCAGCTACCACCCTCTGGTCCCCTGTGTGTGGAATTTGAAGGTGTCACAACAGGCTGTGCCCCTGGTCCCTGCTTTGCTCTCCTTCCAGCCCCAGCTTGCTGCCCTGGCTGAGAGTTTGAAAACTTTTTGTGCATTTACTACACTTGGATTTCTCTGAAAGCCTGTTGTCAGTAAGTATCTGAGACATTAAAAACCAAAACCAAAACCAAACAGAAGACATGGACAAGATCATTAAACTCTTTTGGGCTCTTGTTTCTCAGTTTAGCACACTTCACTGGCCATAGTGGTGCTGGATGAGAGACCTGGGCACAGTTGATGTTGCTGAACAGTACCAAGGTCTCACGGGATGATGGATGGTAACCAACCTAGAAGAAAACAACCCATTCGAAGAAACATTGAGAGAAATTTGCTTCTAAAGCAAGGTGTATTTGTTGAAGAAAAGCCTTCGTGCTGCACTGTGTCCCCTTGTACTGTTTCTTTCCATTTGGTGTGCACAGTGGGGTGCTGTTTCCTCTCAAGATGGACTCTCTGTTGAGGTTGAGTTGTGCAGTCAGTACTTTCTTGTCTAGGAACAAGGCCTAGCTGGCTTGAAATGCAATATATTTTGTACTTGCACTTTCCTCTAGTTTTTCCCACAAAAATCCACAAGAGAAACAAATATATATGCCCTCCTGACCTTTAATCAATTATTGCTGGGCTTAGAGACACATTTTTTTTTCTCTGCAGCTAACACTCCAACACTATGTATTGAGATACTAGGGTGTAATAAATTCTTTTTGCATCCCCTTTGACACCTACCAAGGGCTGGTTAGCATAGTTAGAGTGGGGGCAGGACAGCAATGGTGCTTTTCTGTTTTAAGGATCTGATCCCTGTAATGGAAAATGTCAGTCCACAGACACAGAAACTGATGATCACAATGTGTGGACATCACTTTAGTTCCTCACAAGAAGACAGAACACTATAACTCAGAACCCAGGCTCACAGACAATGGAGCATCTGACCGGACCACCCTGAAGGACTTCTTTGGAGAGGCATCTATATTGGGGCCATGGGTTCTTCTCCTCTCTCTCTTTCCTCCTTCCTCCTCCCTATGCTCCTTCCTATCTTTCTTCTTTATAGATAATGTGTTTCCTTATAAATATAAACTATATTTAAGAATATAATTCAAATCCTTGGCTGTGTCCAAAGTTGTTAAGTTTCCATTACTGTAACAAATGTTCAAGATAATCAAATATCTATCTTTCTATCTATCTATCATTTTATGTGTATGGGTGTTTTGCCTGCATGGATGTCTTTGTGTCTTGTGAGTTCCTAGTGCCCTTGGAGGTCAGAGGACAGCATCAGCTCCCCCAGAGTTGAGTTACAGGTGGTTATGAGTCACCATGTGGGTGCTGGGAATTGAACCCATATCCTCTGGAAGAGCAGTCAATGAGTGCTCTCAACAGCTGAACTATTTCTTTAGCTCAAGATAATCATTTATAAAGGGAAAAAGTTGTCTTGGCTTGCATGATCTACTGGGAGCATTGCTTTGGGCTTTTGCCAAAGTGACAGCAGTGCATAGTGGAAGAACACGAGTCACTGAATGAAAGGAGAGAGACCACAGTGCTACTGTTCTGTCAAGGGCATGTCTCCAGTTTCCTCAAGCCTGTTACTAGTTCCCATGTCATTTTGTTTGTTTGTTTGGAGACATCTCACTGTGTAGCTCACCTTGACCTTGAACTTGTGATTCTCCTACCTCAGCCTCCAGAACCACAGTCATGTGTCACCACACCTGGATTAGATCCCACTTCTCAATGTTTCTACCATCTTTCATTAGTGCTAAGACTTGGATCTCTCAGGACACTTTAGATCAAAATTGTAGCAGACACCATAAATTTTGGCAACTCGTGTACAAGACAATGATTACACAGGAGGTAACAGCCCACCAAAGAATCTGGTGCCCAAGCACATGGAGGAAGGCTGTATGATCTATTATCTCCCACCCTCAACTGTTCTGTGTTAGTTGTTGACAGAGTTAGCATTTGTGGTAGCTCTACCTGAGGTGAAGGCAGGACAGCCTGAAGCCAGCAGATCCAGGGTTCTAGGTTGCAGGAGTCCTGTAGAATTAGGACACTCCTGTGCTAATTCAATGCATAGACATGTTCTACAGACAGTCCCCAGCTTTGTGGATTTGACTTAGCATGGTGGAAAAGTGACATGCATTCAGCAGATACAGGATCTTAAATTTTGTATCTGGATAATTTCTCAGGCTAACAATATGATCATGCTGCCTGATCCTCTCTCATGATGACAGATAGGGCTTCTTGTAGATCCCTTACGAAGGAACACACCTCACCCAACCTTACACAGCTTGGGTACCTGTTACTATGATTTTGTTAGGAGATGTGACCACATCCTGACAAGCTGCCTCTGTGTGCATATTAAAAACTGTTCCTGGAGCTGGGATGTGACTCGGTGGCAGAAAAACCACCAAGTAGTTTAAGAACCTGGATTCAATCCCAACCCTGAAAAGAAATAAGAGAAATAACTTTTCCTATGTGGCGAATGTGTTTCATGATTAATATCATTCCCAAATTGTAGTCAAAATTTTGAGGAACCATGGACCTCACATTGGCCCATGGACAGGAGAAGTGCAAGGAATCTATGTAAGCCTGCCTCATGGCAGTCCTGCTATACACAAATAATTAGATCATCACTTCTGTGTTTTTTTCCTCCCTCCTTCAATTAAATGTCTCGCTCTTCTGCACTCACTTAGAGTGGCTTTTCTTGGTGTGTGTCCTCTTTTGTTTAACCACCCGGAAATTGAAGTGCTCCAGGCACTTCTCATTCTTGCATAAATCCTTGGCTGCTTTTCTTTCCAATATTTGGAAAGTCAGAGTGTCATGGGGCTGCCAAGTGCACTGGGGTGAGAAGTGGAAAGCATCCTTGGCATTGCATTTCCTCCTGTGCTTTCCCAGCTCACTGTGAACACCTCGAAGCCACCTCTGCAGGCTTGAGTTCTCTAGTGATGCTATTCTCTGGGCCATCTCATCCCCAAAGAGTTCAATTTCAAAATCACCCGCTGAAGTGGATTTGGATTACCAAGCAACTGTGTCGACCACCTGGCAAGGAAGCACACCATTTCCCAGGATGTGGCACGGATGCAGAGAAACTTATCCAAACCTTCGTCATACCCTGATTGGCTGTTAGGTGAAGCCTGAGACCTTCTTCCCCCTTTTGATTTAATGGGAACAGGTCAAAGGACTGCTGAAAAGTACACAACACTTCCAGTTTAAAATAGATCTTGGAAGACATTGAAAGAAGAAGGAAGAATGTGAGAATGCGATGGACCAGGGTTCTTTGATCCTAAACTCAGTTAGAATTTTAATTAGCTGTATGTGGATGACCAGAAAGAGGGAATTCTCATAGGATAGGCCTCTCCACAAGCAAGTTGTCCCAAGTTCTAAGAATCTGCCATGAAGCTCAGAGAGCTATTGAATGAAGAGTCTTCTTTATTTCCATGTATTTTTAACTTGTAAAATCATTGCCAATTGAGAAAATGTCTGTAACAGAAGGAAATGACTAACTTCAGGTTACATATCATATACACACTGTATACACCACAATGAGAAAACTGGCATCCCCTCCTACCCACTCACCATTGCTTCCTTATGGGTTCTGGACAACGTTACTGGCGAGGATTGTAGAAGATCAGTAGACTCAGAATGGGGCATGTAGAGGATGATCCAAGATAAAGAAATAAACACAGAAGTGACAGGGGAGAGGGTCAGTGGAGACCATGTGTGGCCTAAGCCAAGTCACAGAAGCATCTCCAGTGGTAACTGGAATCAAGCCATGGAGAAATTCGATGAGATGATCCCGGAAGATCAGCAATGTGTGTGAGCGGAGGGAGGTTTTTGTTGAACTTGGAGGATCTCTTTGAAGTAAGAGAAAGTGCCACTTGACAGACTTTCCTTGAGAAACTAAGCTGCTCAAGAAATAGGTTTATTTGTTGCAGGAAACAGGAGGTAAAGTTGATGTGGTGCCTTCAAGAGCTTATCCCAGGGATAGAGTCTCTGAGAGCTATTCCCAGCTCTTCTCCACTGTGGGACTTAGACATTACAAAGCCGGGTTCAATCCCAGGTGGAAATTCTGGGATGTGGATGAAGATTGGGACAAGACGATGCCTACAGTGGAGTGAGATCCTGTTTCACTCATGAAGCCAAGTGGGAGGAA